AATCTGGTCACTCTAAATAGCACTTATATCTTGTACATGTAGAGGCTCCGCTTCCTTCAAACATTGAAAATAACATTTTGAGAGTAATGCAGGATATCCAGGGAGAGATTTTGTCTTTTTATAGGGTCAACAAGATGCCTGTCTTTTTGCCAGTTAAATCATGTATTTACTTTACTTTTTCCCCTTGGTTTAAGATTTCATGATATTAATTTCCCTTTCAAATGTGCATTCATTCTTTGTGTCTTGTGTCACTCACTCTCATTAATATTCTTCTCCCTTTAAAATATAGCAAAAGAAACAAAATATAAATGATGTTTAAATTGTATGGAGAAATCTGGTCTGCAATCCACAGAAGGAAGGATGAATAATCAATCATCTCCTCAGACAAGAAGCACTGAAATATTTATAACATGGGTAGGTCAAGGATAAGTGCACTTGAGGGTGATTGTACGTATGCAATTAGCAGAATGCACAGCCTAATGATGTATAGAACAAGTGACAGTTCCAAATAACATAGCCTCTCTAGCTAAATAGACATCTTCCAGGTGACTCTGAAAGATTCAGAATGTCTGTCATTAGCAGTTATCACTATGATGGCTTTAAACAATGGCTGGGTCCCTCTGTAGAAGTGAGTTGTTGGTTCATTCGATCCATCTGGATATGACTCAAGGATCCAATTTGCCATGAGAGAAAATTACGGGAGTCAAAAAATATAAAAGAGAAAATGTGTTAAAAATTCTAGGAACCTGCTCAGATATCCACCACTGGGATTCCTGACTTGCTAATGATGTGATGATATTGATAGATCATGGATCTTGGCACATTACCTCACCTCATCTTAACCCTTTGGATAGATGAGCAGAGGCAGCTTCTCTAGAGATACTGAGAATTAACTGGGGGAGCTGAATCTCTTTCCTGTATAGGGAATTGTGAAGCACAGACTCTCTCTAGTTTTCTCACCTGCAGCTCCCTGATTTCCTCTCAAACATTGTCAGCAAAGATCAAAATGTCCTTCTGCTAGTGCTGTTACCTCTGTTGCCACTAGAGACCCCTCAGGAAACCTTCCTCCTTCCCTGGAGAGGGGTCATAGGCCTTTAATATTCTTAGTTTGCCCAAGGTGTCTATTAATTTTTCTCTGTATCTTCTTATAGTTTGAATAATTTATGCTGGGCTTTTAGCTTTATATGCACCATCTCAGATTCTTTGGTCACATAAAGTTAAAATGCTTACATTTTCTACTCTCAATTAATAGATCTGGCTACTCGACTATAAAGCCCGTTCAGTTGTCCATGAGGAAGCATAAAGCAGTGAGACCCTAATATTTCTGCAGCCTGTTTGGCCACCTTCTTGCACTCTATGATGGATGCATATTGTGCCAGTTTAGCTAAGCTGGGACTACATTTTCCAGAATACTCTTTTATGCACAATTGGCTTGCATGGGAAGAGAAATGAAATGGCCATATTCCTTTATGCTCGGAGGGTCGTTGTGGGCACAGGATGCTATTGCTGCTCACACATGCTATTGCTGATCTGGGGGCTCCACTGCCAGACTCGGGACTGCAGCTGGGCCTACTGTGCCTCCAACACCTACCAAGTCTCCTCCATCTGCTTTTGTAACTCTAGAGGTAGGGGCACTCCTCTCCATGGGAGGGAAGCCACCAGCTTCTTCTGCAAGACACCTCCATCGTATAGGTTAAAGGTTTGTAGGTGAGTGAGAGTTCAATGTGAGGTCCCACCCATCCTCATGTCTCCCCCTCATTCTTACATGTTCCCTCCATCTGTGCTTCCCCTGTTTCAACCCATCTTTGCTTCCTGACTACTTGTCCTGCTGACTTCCATCTGCAGCACAGGAGGCAGAAGCAACAGCCTCACAGAAACGGTTGTGAATATATCATTAGCTCCCATGATTGCATACAGTTAAATCCCTACTGCTTCTTGGAGAAAAATGATGGATACACCAGCTTTACTTGTTTGCGTACATTTTGTGAAATTTAGGAAGAAGGATTTAGGCTACAACTGTTAAGGTCAGGATTAACTGTCCCTTGGCCCCATCTGGATGGAAAACCCCCAAACACAATTATAAATATCTAGTTGGGTCAAACACCTGTGATTAGGACCAACAGTGCCATCGACTTTCAGCCTCATGCTCAGAGCAGCTTAAGATTTTTTGAGCAGCGTGGCTTTAGGTTCTTGAACATGAACAAGCCCAGAACGTTGGGTAGACAAGATATAACCTTTACCTTTGGGAGTGCCCTGCTGCTGGTCTTCCAGCAGACCTGGGCAGTTCAGGACACACTGAGGTACTCTTCATAGGCCATAAGTCACATTAAGAAGAAGCCTTCTCGGTAAAAGTAGTAATATCCCTGGGGGGCCAAAGAGTAAGATCTATTTGACTCTTCTGCGTGGGTGAGACTGTTGATTTTAAAGGCTATATTTTTAATTGTAAGAGTAGTCCAGAAACCCTCCAAATACATTTTAGTAACATACATGATTATGCAGATGAGACCTGAAACACACTTTAAGAAGTTCTTCATATTGTTCCCAGTGCTGAACTTTCCTAATTTTTTTTTTTTAATATGAGAGTTTCTTTTGGATCAAACTTAGATATACAGGTCATGACTTGTACAGGATCTTAAATAACCCCAAACCTAGACAAATAAGAGCACTTTCCAAACACAGCTGCTTGACAATGGAGATTGCCAATGTTCTTTCTGTGAGAAGGAAAATATATTTCCAGAAATCTGTTTTGCTTTCCTCCAAGGATGAACACTTGTTTTTTTGTTTTTGTTTTGTTTTGTTTTTACTCTAAATATCCACCCTGGAAGTAATTTTCGGGCAATCTTTCTGCCTTGGCAAAATTATGCTGGATTCACCTTGCAAATACTTCAAGCAAATAGAGTCAAATCAGTCCAGACAGGTCTTCAAGCGATCAGCTGTACAATTCTACCAGGGAAAGGTCATAGAAATGGAAACCAACATGACCCAAGTAAAGGAGATTACATGTTTTGATGCTGTCTACCCCAATCAGATTTCTCTGTATGGATCTTTAGAGTCTTGAGTATCCCCAGGTCATGCCAGACTGAGATGCACATACTTGTAGGGCTGCCAGGACATTCATACATATTACTTATCTTTCACCCACCTGAGCCCATTGACAAGTTAGACATAGGTATCAGATAAAAATAAAAATTATAGGCTTTATTATTGAGAAAGTCTAAATTGGAGAACAGAGATTAGTTCTACAACAACAATAGGCAGTTTATCATACTGCACAGATGGACATGGGGTCCATAGGGTCAAAGTCTGTCCCAGTAGGCTTTCTGAATGGTCAGAAATGGATGAGTCAGGAGATCCCAAAGGAGAGGAGGGAGGAAGGGAAGAAGGGAGGAAGGGAGGGAGGAGACAGGGAGGGAGGGAGCTGAGAAAGCTCTTCCAAAATCACCTATCAGGGAAGTTACTCTTCCTCTCATGGGTAAAAGAGTAGGGCAGTTCCTGCATTTAGTTCCTGCTGCCCTTCCTGGTCTCTGCTGCTGTCTCCTACCAGGACCAACAGTGGCTCTGGAGCTCTGGAGACTTCAAGGAACCAAGAGTGATCTTTGGCAAAGCAGTAAAGAGGTTTCATTAATTTTATCTTATAGTTTTTATGGCAGCATTTTGCTAACAATTTTACTCAAGCTAAATATTAATTATAAAATATTTATCAACATACCAAGGTAAATATTTTCTTTCCTAGCTTCCCTCCCCATCAAGGGATGGCTATGGAACACAATTTGAAATAATGACACATAAACAGAGGTTTCCTGAGATTTTTCTGTAGAATATTTTGATTTCCAGATTTTAAAAAATAATGGTGGTGTCTGGTAGTGTCTTCCCTTCCTATTCCCCTCCTCCTGCCTTGAATTAGAAATGATGGAGTTCCAGTCGTCTTGCAATCATGGGAAGTCAAAGATGAAGGCAAACTCTGGCACGTTAAGGATGGCACAGCAGATACTAAACCCTAGATGCCTTGTGGCACTGAACAATCATTATCCTAATTCTGGGTTTCTTGTTGTATGGGATGTCAAAAAGCAAAATTGAAGGACATGTGTATAAGACATCTTTAAATGGATTTTCTGATACTTGCAGATCCTTGCAATCTGAACTGATACCAACCCTGGTTCCCCAAACAGCTTCAAGAGGACCCTGCATGAAGCAATAAAAGATCAAGGAGGATGCTCATGCTTCCTGACCCCCAAACCCAGGCAGCCAGAACATCCAAAGTAACACTGGAAGTCACAGAGATGAAACACACTGTGGCCACCTGTCCCCCTCTCTGTCATCATCTCCCAACACCTTGCAGCAGAGCTTGTATCTTCACTCTGAGCACTCCTCTCACTTCACTCCTATTTAGATTCCACTCACCGCCTACACAAGCCTAGGATTCACAACTTCACTGACAATAATCACAGAGTCCATTCTCGTGGCTCTCTTTTTAAACCTAAGTGTCAGTTAACATCATCCATCATCTACCATTTGAAAAAAAAATATGGTGAGAATTGTGTTTTTAATAAAGATTCCATTTATAACAAGCTATTTTCCCACCAACTTCTCCAGCCTTTAGGCAATCAATTCCCTTCTCAGCAAATTCAATAACTCGTTATCATCTTCAGAACTAGATTTATATTGAGCAGAGACAGAAGCTGAATTGAAGAGACTCTCAATAGTAGGTCAATAAACAAATCACACTCATACCTCCTAGGTAGTGCAACCTCCAATCCCAGGGAGCTCTATCTTACATAATTTAGTTGTGTTGTATCTTAACAAAAGAAAGTGGAGGATGTAGAGAGAAAGAAAAACAACTACCATATCATAACTAATAGACCACTTCCCAAGTCAAACAAATTTGAAAAAGATTACAAGTCAAAGAAGGTAACTGGGTCCTTGCTTTGTTTTGATTAGATATATTAAGTAATATTTTTCTACCAAGAAATATTAACAAATTCAAGAAAACTGGAAGCAAGTATTTTTTGAATTACCGCTTTATTACTTCATTCTATAAAAGTAAAACATTCTGTAAATTGTCTGTATGCACATTGGGATGTTTCCTATCACTGTGTGGTTTCTGTATACTTGGACAGCTCTGTGTGCCAGTGAGTCTTATTCTTGTCTGATTGTATCAATAAGGTTGCATGGAGCTGCAAGAAGCAGAAAATGTAACAGAGGATTCAAACCACAAGCACATTTTTGTGTTTAGTTATTAAGAAGTCTTGAGGCAGTCTGTCCTTGAGTTCCTTCAGTGACCTTTGATGCCACCAAGTATTAAGGATCTATCATTCCACCCTGCCCTCCTCCAAGCAACTAGGTGATTGATAATTGCCTTTTCTACGTTTTAGAACACTAGGAGAGGAGCAGGCTTAGAGGAAAAAAATCAAAAGTTCTATTCTCACATTGAGATTAGGTATCCAAGTGAAAATACTGAGTTGGCAGTTGGACATATCTGTTTTAAAGTTCACAGCAGAGATCTGGCGTCAAGTTTTAATTTTAGAACCATCAGTATGTAAAGCTTCAGCCTGCATGAGTTCACCAAGGTGAACAGACTTGGCTTGTATTCATCTTTGTATTCCTGTCTTAGGCTCTTCTTGTTCTGGTGACCTGTTCAGACCCTCCTCATTAGGTCACACGTCTTTGCCAGATAAGTTTGGGGTCCTTCGGAGCCCCATGATCAGAAATTGTTTCAATTGTTTCATATCAAATGTTGCCCAAAAGTCTAGTAATAGGAAGACTAAGAATTGGTCTGTAATTATGCCGTGGACCTTGGTAAACAACCAAATGCCTCAGGGAGATAAGATTTAAAAAAAAAAAAAAAAAGCCATGTACAGCGATACCAGCAACCATCTCTCCCTGGATTATTTCATATTGACGTTGAAGGGATTTAGATCTATCTTTAATATAAGTAAGGACCCGTTGGCGGAGACCTGGACGTTCGACAGTTTGCTGTCATCCCTTGTTTGAGACATGTTCTAGCTGTCATACTTGGGTATTCCTGAGAGTGTCTGAAGGCTTAAGTGGATGATAAATGCAACATGTGAGGCACAGGGTCTAGGGCACTATAATCGCACAATGATGCTGGCGTAAGCTTTAGTCACTACTCTGGTGAGTCTCGCTTCATTTTTAGCTCTTATTTCAGGCTGTTGCTTAGCAGTTATTCCAAAGATAAGCACTGAGTTTTCTGGAAATGATTTAAAGTAATCACAACGTCTTAGAGCTGAAAGGAGTGTAGAAATTACTCCATTCTCTTCAGCTGGCAGATAAGAAAACAGAGATCCAACAAGACTGGAGGACTTCTCAAGGTCATTCACCATGCATGGTAGCAGTAGGTCCCAGACCAGAGTCTGGGTCTCCCAGAGCTGAGTCCTTTGGAGTTAATTACAGTAAATTTCATGAGTAGAAAACTGAACATTCCATGTCAGGGGATCTTTTTAAAATGAAGTTTATTCCTTTTAACCACCAAAACTTAATAACAATCATTATTACTTTTGATTAGAGCCTTCTGCTTTTGATTAAAATGCTTCTCCACAATGGAGTTATTCTAGTCTAGAGAACATGCAATCTTAACTTAAGCTCTTCATGTTACCTTAATTCTTTACCAGTTGCTTCATAATTTGAGAAGTTCCTTTGGCTTGCAAAGCAAATGAAAATTTCAGTTGATAATATTACAATATTGTCATGTTCATCACTTGGTATTTTCTGGAAGAACAGAAATCCGAGGAGTTAAAAACAGCAAAAAACATATGATTCTTCACATAAGAGCATCCATGATTATAAGTATACATTTATATTATATGTATAGAATTATAGATCTTATTATGGAGTTTTCAGTGCATAATGCAGATCTGCAACTTATGAATAAATTAATTTTAAATGAATGTTACCCTTCCTTAAGTTCTTCAGAGTCTGCATGGAGCTCATATATATTTATTTATTGAAATAATTAGAATCTCTATAGTATTTTTCCATGCAGAAATTCTGAACATCACTTCATTAAACCTTCCCAAATCCTCCTATGAGAGATGACTAATCAGATATTATTATTCCTATTTTAAAAATGAGAAAACTAACATCCCAAAATGTTAAATATGCACAGAGGACCTATATGAACAGGAACAAAGTCCCTTTCTCCCCTCTCCTTCTCACCAGTCAATCTTTGAGTCTTATCCAGAAATCCGAATTTAGCCTCTGTATTTTCAGCTGTTCCAGGAATAGACCCTGCCAGAAAAGAAAGCCTACTGATTCCTGGTGCTCACAAATCCACCCCCCGACTTTTCCCATCACTAGTGACCACAGGCTCAGCCTTTGCCTGACTCTACGGTCATGTGGTCTCCGTTGCTACAACAACTGCAAATCCATCGCATTTCACTCTGGGGTAGCTCTTAAATTATCCATCACTTATGTTCTGTCCAATCTTGTGGGAACAATTGAACTGTGCATCTCTAGAGACTGAAGTAGCAAGAAGCATACTAGCAAAGGATTCCACATTTCCCTATCTAGATTTTGGTGCTCATGTGTGGTATGACATTCTATATGACTAGATGCTGGTCATATAGAATGTCATGAAGGAAGAGCTAACATCAGGGCAGTTACAAGGTGGTTGTTAGGACTAGAATCAAAGGTGGTAACATCTGTGAAGTGCTTAGCAAAGGGGTCTTGCTCAAAGAAAATGCTCACTAAATGTTAGAGGTTGTTACTAGTATTTGTAGGTTAGCTGGTGGAATTTGGAAAGAATTAATAACCATAGTTACCATTTATCAAATTAGATTTAAATCTCATGATAAGTATACAAAGTGATTATCAGTCCCCCTATTTCAGAGCTGAGAAAGTGGCAGGCGTGGGATGACAACGGTTTCCCTAATTTTGCCAAACTTGTTCATTCATTCACCAAATACTTACCAAGTCCCTGTGTACTCAGAACTGCAGCAGACACAGAGAACAGGATAGAACTGATCCCAGCCCTCATAGGATTTAGAGTATAGAGATGGGTACAGACAGGTGAAACCCATCTGTCACGAAGCCCCGAAGCCAGCCCCCAATTCTTGCCCTGCCTCCTGAACACAAACCTCTCAAATCCACCCTGCTGTTGGGGATGTGGCTCTGTGTGGTACAGCACTTGCCTGGCTTGTGTGAAGCCCCAGGTAACATCCCCAACTCCACAAAAATAAACAAACAAACAAATCTGCCCTGTTAGGTCAAAGAAAAAAAAAGGATATATTGCCGAAGAATGTATGAGGGGGATATTATAGGATATAGAATTTATTTTCCACAACATCTAATTCCTCTCCCCATAAACATCTGTGTCCTCCCCACCACAATACTTAATGTCTTCATCCCACCCTCCTCTATGCTCAGTTTCTTAGCCCAGGGACAGGTCCTGGGCCCAGGATCTCCTCTCAGGCCATTCATGTCTCTCCTTTATGCAGACCACTAAGCCTTGTATCTCAGGCATTAAAAAAAAAAAAAATTTCTATTAGCAAAATATCCCCTCTTAGGAGATGACTAGAAGATTATAAATAAGTCATTTTTCTTCTGGCTTCATAAGTAAACAGGCAGTTCTACTATGGTTTGATCCCCTGTGTTAGAGGACTACAAAGGAAGGACTTTGAAACTGGACTTAGGGCAACAGGGCAAGTGTCCAGGAAAAAGTGACATCGTTAGTGTGGTGGGTGTTATGGTCGCTTCCTCAGAACCCATTGTTCAACCCTTGGTAACTGTCCTAATTGGGTGGAGGAGGTGAGTGTGGGGGATACTAATACCTTCTACATAAACCCACATGCTTTAGGGGGAGATGATTCCACAGTTCAAGCCTAAGCTGATTAGTACAGTTTCACTCACCAGAGCATAGTTACTGGATCACGGTGATAGAGAACCTAAGCTGAGCCAGTGACACTGATGCTTTGGGAGTGGTGGTGAGGGTGGGATGGGGGGCGGGGAGTCTGGGAAAGAAACACATTTAATTGGCCATCAATCTGATCACCATGAGGACCACCAGCCTCAACAGGAAGGCTATGTTGCCCACAGAGTGAAGAACTAAAAAGAAACAGAACGCTGATAAGCTGTAGAGCTCAGTTATCTAAAGTGGTAGCTTCAGCTGTTACTTGCCATCCAACCCAACATAACAAAGAAACAAGGTCTGATCAATGAGTAGCCAGTAACCTTGAGAGAGGGGCAGGCAAGTACCAGATCTACCACCTACAGAAGTGCATTGAAACAAAGCAGTCTGATTTTCATGAAGTACTTGACAACTTCCATATACCCTTGACTACCAGTTAGATAACCTAATGAGAAAAGAGATCTGATTTACAGCTCCCCTCACCCGCATGCACACACACTCAGTTTCCATACTTAGAATGATTGGGAACTATATAATGTGATTCTTATAATAAAATAAAATAAAATAAATTTTAAAAGCTTCAAAAGTTTGTTAGAACGTTTAAGAGATGATTCAGATAAATAGAAAAATGGAATCAACTCCAATATGAAGAGACTTAATAATATTAAAATGCCTGTGTTAACAAATAGAATAGTATTTTAATTTTGTTAAATTCATAGATTTAATGTTGTTTTGATCTAAAAACCCAACAAGTATTTTTAATTCCACAAATGCATTTTAAAATATATGTGTGAAAATTGTGAGAAAACCATTAACAGAGAATGTAGAAAAGAAAAACAGTGAAAAGTTTCTATCAATATCAGACATTAAAACATACTGTACAACAGAATGAGGATTAAAATAATTCACTGACAAGATCACAGATTAGTGAAACCAAATGAAGGGACTTTAAAAACTCTAATAATTTACGAAGTATTTTTGTGAATGAAGTATAACTAATAAGTAAATTACATATGTATTTAAAATCTATGTCTCTATCTCAAAATACCTTTTTAAAATATAAGGAGGAAGGAAGGTGTGTATAGACACTTCTGGTTGGCAGATTCAGTGAGTGATCTTTCCTACCCCTCTTCTTCCTTCTGTTTTCTACTATAGAAACAGGAAGAGTCAAATTCTTTCCCAGCCACTATTGCAGCTAAGTGTGACCAAATGACACCTTTCTCAATAATAAGACCTCAGGGAAAATCTGCTGGTACATTTCTGAGAAAGTTTTTATTTTCCTGACAAGAGAGACCAATGTGGCTCTCATTGTCCTTCCTCTCTGCTTTGAACACAGTGATTCCACCATCTTGGAATTGTGAGGTAATAAGCAGGAGGGAAAGGCCAAGAGAATCTGAGTTTCCTGCACCAACCTCATAGAAACATGTGATAATTCAGCAACTACCAATACCCTCTGAATTTCTTGTAAAGTGAGAAGACTAAAAATCTATTTGCTTGAGCCATCTCACTTAGATTTTTGTTAGCCGGAGTCAAATACTCATGACTGATTCAAGGAATATTTGATAAGAGTTATTAGAATTAGTAATAGCAATTTTTTAAAAAGTAGCTGAGTACTCAGTATAGTCCAGATGGATTAACGAGTGAGTTATTATTATTATTATTATTATTATTATTATTATTATGAAGAAAGAACAGAACATAGAATAAAAGATTTAGCACATCTATGAGGAAAACCTTTCCTTTTCTTGAAACTTTTTGAGAAATTGTAAAGAAAGAAAACGAATGGTAAATACGTCTGAAGGTTTTAAACTTCTGTGCAATGAAAACCAGCAAAAAACAAGAAAAACTGCATGTGAAAAATCTATACAAATATAACAGATGATAGTCTCATAAATAAAATATAAAAGGAGCCTCTCAAATGTATTAGCTATATCTTATCACTGAGATAAATAAATGGTCAAAGAATATGACCAAGCAGTTCCCTCAAGGAGAAATAGAAACAGGAATTAGACACCTGAGAAAAATGTTCAGCCCTAGTAGTAATCAAAGAAATGCAAATTAAAGTAACCTTGAAATATCATTTGACACCTACTAAATTAACATTTTTTAAAATGATGAGCTGGCAAGGTGACAGCAATATTGGCGCACTCATTCATTTCAGTTGGCACTACAAATTAGCACCACCTTTGAGAAAGCAATATGGCAAGCACAGAGAAACATTTGTGCCCTTTGGCCCAATGATTCCAGTTCTTCCAATTAGCACTAAGGGGAGTAATTCAACAGAAGCAGAGACACACTCTGCACTGCTCTTCAGAGCCTCAGCAATTCAATTAAATCCAATTAACATATATTTTACACTTTCCACCTGCCAAGCAGAGGCAACTGGGAATCAGAAATTAATAAGACACTGTGTCTGACCTCAGGGGGGCTCACAGCCTGGCAAAGGAGACAGGTAGACAAATAAATACATGACAAAATGGTATGGTAGGTCCTACAGTAGAAATATAGATGAAGTCAGAAGAGCTGGATTTTTATGATGGAGGTAAGTCAGGTAGGCAAGCAGAGAGCAGGCAGGGTTAAGGAAAGCTTGCTAAGGGAACAAGGTGACATTATAGGGAAGAAAGCAACAGAGTTAAAACACAGAACCACAAGTAGTTCACTACTGTGGGAATATAGATTGCAGGAGGAAGCTTATGGAAAAAAAATAAGATTTGTGGCAGAGTGCCCTTGTTTACCATCTATAATAGCAAAAAAAAAAAAAAAAGGAATCATGGTAAATGGTCAGCATTGGCGATGACTCTTTATGAATCGTAGTACACTGTGCACATTATTCCACCACAAGAATGAAAACTATGAAAAGATAACATATGCCGGCAGGATACCTGGGGGAAATTAGCTGGTCCTGTCCTGACAGCACTGAGCAACTTCCCCCAAACTCACCGTTTCCCTTTTATATCCGCAAACTCACTCTATTGAAATGTAATTTACATAGTATAAAATTCATCCATCTAAAATGCATAAATCAGTGGTTTTAATACATTCACAAAATTGTACAACCATCCCCACGACCCAGTTTCAGAATGTTTTCGTTGTCCCAGAAAGAAACCTATTAGCATTCATTCCTCATTGCTCCCAGTCTTTAACAAACCGCAAATCTTCCTTCTGTCTACAGAATTGCCTACTTTTCCCCTTCCCCTTCCTAACCTCTGCTGTCCTCCTCAGGCCTGAGTGAGCGGGGGCAACACCCTATTTGATGCTCCGGACCCCTCTATTTGATGCTTCTGGCTGAACACAGCACCACTCCATAAAGATGCAGGGATTCTTGTTACACTCAAGAATCCACCTCACAGAATAAATGGCTTTCTTGGTGGGGCTCTCGAGGCCCCCTGTCCCTCCCTGAGGTGAGGTGAATGCCATCTTAGCTACTGGCTCCCGCTCAACTCCTTGACATCTAGGGCCAAGGCAGCAGGACCAGTAGGGGAGGGTCAGGAAGCCTACCTTCCTTGGCTACAGCACGCAAAGGAAATCTGGTATTGCATTTAATTTTTCCACTAAGGAACTTGGAGAAGGCATTGTTAGTGTGATGGCCAGGTCTCTGGCTGCCCTCACCAGGCTCATTATCCTTCTTCCTCACCAGCCTTATCTCTGGCAGTACGCTGTTTTATTTCTTTCTCAAGGACATTGACTATAAAAGCTGTGGTTCTCTGTGGAAATGGACACAGACGATTTTCCTTGCAATTTGCGTTGGCTGTGTTTTCCTGACCAGCAAAGGTGAAATCTGGCTTTTTTATTTTGTGCACCGTGAAACATTCTCTTTGGTGGCCTGAGCTTACAGGAGCTTACTTTACTCTTCATGAACAAATTACAGTAAGGATTCACCTTGGCATATTTCCAAGTCCCTCAACACACAGCTAACGACGATGAGGATGAACCATAGCATTGTCCTGATAGTACAGACACAGAGAAAATTGATCAGGAGTCAGGATGTCTGAGTTTGGGTTTAACCTCTGGTTCTCAGTCCCTTCTGCAATAAACCAAAGGTTGGAATAGAAAGAAGTCACAATAGTTCCTTCCAGATTTAAATACTATGGTTTCCTAAATTAGCAAGGTGAGAACAGAGGTTATGTTTAGGAGATGTCTGATCTCAGGGTCCTGCTGAAAGGAAAGAAGACAAGAGATGAGAAAGGACAGAAGGAGAGAGAAGGAAAGGGCACAGGAGGGGATAAGAGGAGACGGGAAAAGGAGGAAGGGGACAGGAAAGGAGGGAACAGATGGACAGGAGAGGTGAGAAAGGGAATGGAGGGGAGGGCACATAAGTGAGAGAGGATAGGAGGAGAGAAGAGTGGCATATTAGTACAAGTTCATTGGAAAGAAGATGGGAATAGAATGAACATTTCTAATGTCTTACTAGATAGCAATTCACAAAACCATCTACGAGGTAGGTATCAGTAATGGCTTTAATGAGGAACAAGACATATCAGATTCTTCAGTGCCCTCCCCTGCAGGTTTAATGAGCCTTTTCCCTCTCCCTCAAGGGATTTGGATGCAGTTGTCTTTGAAACTGTTATTTGCCCAAAGTCTTCCAGTAGTCAATCATGGTGCTCGAGTGCAGACGCAGGCATACTGATGGTGCCCTTTCCAC